TAGAATAGAAATACATGCTCTAGGGTGGGCCCTTTGTTCGTAGGACCTTCCTGCCGAACACCTGGTCCTTGCTGCCGATTAGGTCAAATCTGGAGTGTCTAGCGAAGGTGGCGAAACTGGACCATGTTGCGGCATTGCAGATCTGTCCAGGGGAGGCCCCCCCCTTTTCCGCCCAGGTGGCTGCGGTGGCCCTGGTCGAATGCGCCTTTAGGCTGGCCGGTGGTGACAGACGCAGCTCTATAACCTTCAGAAATGGCCTCTCCTACCCATCTTGTGATGGTGCCTTTGGAGGCACTGTCCCCCTTCCTTGGATCATCAATTCTGCTGTAGTCTCCCTCCAGGGATGGTATTATTTCTTCCTGCGACTTATGAGAATGTGACGCAACCTTAGGTAGAAACGCCGGATCCGTGCGGAGGATGGTTCTGTCCCACAGGCTAGTGCAGTATGGTTCTATTACAACAGATCTTGCAGTTCGCTGACTCTGCGGGCAGACGTAATTGCTACAAGCAGGATGGTTTTAGGAGTCAAAAAGTCTAAAGGAGCACACCTCCAAAGGCTCAAAAAGGTTCTTGCTGAAAAAACTCGTCAGAACTGTGCCCAGGTCCCATGTAGGGTGCTTCGGCATGGGCAGGACTCGGCGCCTAGAGATAGCTCTCAGGGACCTGATTACTAATGGGTCTGCCGCCAATCCTAATTCCAGAAAGTTTGATAGTGCTGCTACCTGCACCTTAAGGGAATTTGCAGCCAGGTTCTTATCTACCCCGGCTTGGAGGAATTCCCATGCTGTATGTAAGATGGGAGCCCCCGGCGACCCATTCCTATCTTTCCAGGCGGAGAACTTCTTCCAAGTTAATCATATACGGTGTTTGTCGATTTCTTCCTTCTGTCTAAGATGGTGGCGACCACTTTCTCTGACAGGCCTTTCCTGGCTAGCCTGTCCCACTCAGAAGCCACGCTGCTAGGGAGAGTTCTCCTGGGTGAGGGTGTAGCACCTCCCCTTGCCCCCCGTAAATCGTGTGAGGGCGGTATCATCCATGGGTCCGTTGAGCTTACTTCCTTCAGCTGGGCAAACCATGGCCCTTTGGGCCAAAACGGTACAATCAGGATGACTTTATCTTCTGCATCACTTCCGGCAACAGTCTGAACGGAGGAAACCCATAGAGAAGGTCTCCCTCCCAATGCGGGGCTAATGCATCTCTCCCTGCACTCCTGGGGTCCTTCTGCAGGCTGCAGTACCTCCCCAGTTTTGTATTTTGGCTGTTGGTGAAGAGATCCGCGGAGGGAGTGCCCCATCTGGCGCAGGTTTGATTGAATGCTGTACGGCTGAGGCACCACTCTGTCTGAGTGACCTCTCTCCGGCTCATTTGGTCCGCCAACTGTTTGAGATATCCTTTCAGATGCGCTGCTATGATGGACTCTAGGTTTGTCTCTGCCCAGCTCAGGAGGGTTTCTGCCAGATCCATCAGTCTCGGGGCCCTCGTGCCCCCCCTATCTGTTTAAGTACGTGACAACCGTTGTGTTGTCGGATAAGATCTGAACTTCCTTCCCCTCTCGTACCCTGGAAAGCCAACAATTCCTTGTAGTTTGATGATCTGTCCAAGATTTTCGCGTCCCACCTGCCCTGGGCCAGGCGGTCTTCCATGTGAGCACCCCACTCAGACATACTCACATCTGTGGTGATTCTTTCCGGGCTGACCTGCAGCCATTTTCTCCCAGCCTCTAAGGTGTGGATGTTCTCCCCCCCCCCCCCCTTTAGCGAATTCCTCATGCGTGTGAGGCGGATCCTGGAATCTAAGGCTGCTTGGCTGCCATCCCAGTGGGAGAGGACATGGTCCTGCAGTATTCTGGAGTGAAACTGTGCCCATTGCACTCCGGGTATGGCAGCTGTCATGCGCCCCACTAACCTCATTGCAGCACTGGCATACTAGGGCCAATTAACCTACCAGCATGTCTTCGGAGTGTGGGAGGAAACCCACGCAGTCACAGGGAGAACATGCAAACTCCAGGCAGGTGGTGCTGTGGCTGGGATTTGAACCAACGACCCGAGTACTGTCAGGCGGAAGTGCTAACCATTTAGCCACTGTGCTGCCCATCCGTGCAGGTCGCCATCCCCCGTTAGGTATAAGCAGGTATTCTTGGAATCCAGGGCATACCTCAGATACGTGATCCTTCTGGGAGGTATTAGCTGGGATATTCCCCCCCTATTGATTAGCCATCCCAAGTACTCTGGGAAGGAATTTGTGCACCGTACGTGGGATTCCACACCCCTCTCTGTATTTGCAAATAAAAGTAGCGGTTCTGCTCGGACATTGGTGAATATCCTTGGAGCTGATGACAGACCGGAGGGGAGTGCATGAAAATGGGAGTACCCAGAGGAAACCCCTGCAAGCGCGGGCGAACACTCAAACTCCATGCAGGGGGCGCCACGGTCGGGGACCGAACCCACAACCCATACACCGCAAGGCAGACGCGCCAACCACTATGGCTCAGGAGAGACCAGAACTCCTGGACTCAAACAGTCTGAGAGTCTCTGCCACCAAAGGGGCTGGGATTACAGATGCACGCCCCTGCATGCTGCCTCCGTTGAACTGAAATAGAATTGTTGCCCCTGCGCCTTCCAGCGCAACCCTGAGAAACTTCTCTGATTCCTCCCTTATCGGGACATGCAGATATGTGTCCTTCAAATCCATCTAAGCCACAAATACGCCCTGGTGGCAGTAGTTCTGTTCACTGTGTGTATGGTCTCCTTGCAAAACTTTTTTTTTTTTTTTTTTTTTTTTTTTTTTTTTTTTTTTTGTTTTTGGTCCCACGAACTCGTTCCCCTTTTTTTAGGTTGAGTATCATTCCGCAGGTTCCCAACGCCTTCCTTCTAAGGAAGAAATGGGAGTAGAAAACCACTCCCCCTCTCTTCCTCCTCCAGCTGGCAAATTACATTCTGCCCGAGCATCCCATCCAGGTCTACTAACATGTCCGCTTTTCCCCTGTCCTTTGGCAGGGGTGTTGCGAAGAACCTTTGAGGGGGGGGGGGGGGGGGGGGGGGGGAGAACTCTATTCTGTAGCCATTCGGAATGCATCTAAGATAAAGTGTTCCGAGTGATTTTTAGCCACTGTATGTGGAAGTGTCCCAGCCTTCCTCCCACTTGGCTCCTCCGGTCACTTGGACCGGTTCCTGGGTTTATTCTGGTTGGGGTTGAAGAGGAAGTCTTCCATTCCCCTTGACTAATCCTTGATCCCCAGCCTGTGCCTAGTCTCCTTTTGTCGTATTTAGAGGCAAGATCCCCCTGCCAAGATTCTAACCAGATAGCTCTTCTGGCAGAATTTACAAGCGCAGTAGACTTTTGCTTGTAAATCAAATAGCTTCCATCGATGCGTCTGCAGTGAAAGCCACAGTTTCCCCTAAGACCGGCAGCGACTCCTGGATCTCTCCCGCCGAGGCGCCTTGTTCTAGAAAGAGGAGCATTTGGCCTTGGGCAAGTTAAGAGTAGATTTTGTGCCTGAGCCTGGGTTTGAACCTGGGCCTTTTTGCAGTGATAGACTAAGTTGCTTCTCTCTGAGCCACACGGAATGCTGTCCCCACGGTGCAGCATCTTCTTCCTTGAATGGGAATCCCCACTTGAGGTATTTGGGAAAGAGCCTCCTTTTCCGGCTCTTCCCATTCCCTTCTGATGGAGGACCATAAAGTAGAATACGCATGGACTGCGTGGCCGCTCTTCCCTTTTTTTTTTTTTTTTTTTTTTTTTTTTTTAAGACCTGCATACAGCTGGTCATGGAGGGAGAGATCCGGTTGTTCCTCCTCCAGGTCATCTCCCTGAGGTGCCTGGTTGGGGCTTTGTCCTGGGCGGGACCCGGACTCTTAGAAATCAATGCATGTACAGGGAGAGCATGCAAACCATGCAAAGCATGCAGGAGGTGTCATAGTCGGGAATCAAACCCACAACCCATTCACTGCAAGGCAGACATGCTAACCACCAAGCCTCTGTGCCACCCCCCTGTGGGCCCACCTGGGGATGAGGAACATAGGGCGCCCATCCGCCGTGCAGCCCCCTTGGGGCCCCTACGTGGCCCCCCAGCACCCAGAAAGCCCCTAGGTAGTGTAGGGAAGAAGGGCAGGGGGGAATGAGAGGGCGGGCGGGGTGGTTGTGGCAGCCAAAAAGGCCCTTACCTGCTGCAGGCCTCCCCCAGCCTTGACAGATCTGCCTCCATCCTTGCCGCGAACTCCCCCTTGGTGCGGCTGTTTTGCAGGGCTTAGCGGGCTCCGCCCTCTCCCTGGGGTCCTCATGCGCCGGCCTCCCTCTCACGGCCGCCGGTGGAAGAAGCGGCCGTGGTGTGGGCGAGTTCTACGGCCCGCCGCCCATAGCCCACATGGCGGCAGCGCCGCTTCCTGTTCCTGCGCCGGAAGTGACGTCACTTCCCGGCGCCCGGAAATGACGCGACTCCGGCGTCCTCCCGACCACCGTCCATGCTGCAGAGATCCCGGAAAAGGTAAGCTCACCTCAGCCCAAGGGAAAGGCAATCCTGCCCAGGTCGGCGTAGCGGGCTCTGCCCCCCTGGAGAGCCCCGCTAGGACCATTTGGGGTCTGTCACCCCCACCCCAGAGGGGTTTACACGAAGGGGACCTGACTGAAGCCCCCTCACAAGGCCCCTGCCTTGCTTAGAAAAGGAGGAAAGGGGGGCCTCAGCCAGGGGGCCTCTGTACCTCGCCAGGTGGCCCTAGAAAAATAACAAAACGGGCGTAGCTCACTCCTGGCCTGAGGAAACACTAATACTGAGGGTCCCCTGGGAGAGAGGCTACTTATAGAGGAAAAAGGTGGAGCGGGTGTTTCCTGGGAGGAGCCTATCTCTCAAGTGAGCTGTCCTAGAAGATGACTCGGGAAAACTCTGTGTGACACAGGACACTGTATCAACTACCCTTCTGCAAAATACACTGCAGTCATTTCAACATATTACTCAATCTGACAAATACTGACATCAAATACCGTAGTAGAACTGTCACACTTACCATTCCTTTTAGACCAGCTATGTAAGCAAGAACTTCTAACAAGTGCTTCATCAACTCTGCCTCCTGACATGTTGTCCATGAACTGTCGTCCATGCTCCAGTGCCAAGTAGCAATCATTGCAACAGTCCTGTTCTTCCACACGTGATGTGTAGCTCACAATGCTGGTTTTGGTTACTGGCTCTTGATCCATTATTCCAAATGGAGAGAATAAATTAGTGCATTGATCATGGAGAAGTAGTATCAACTCATCGGGCATTTTCTCAGGATCCCGTAGCCCAGTGTTATCTGTTCCCGCAGTTCTTAGGGCCTCAAAACGCTTCTCCACTTCCTTACCACAGTCCGTGTGTCGCCCGATTATATCAAGCTCATCCTCCAAAAACAAGCCTGAACCGTTGCCAAATTTACGATTCATTACCGCACTGAAGCCACATGTACAGCGATACTGTACTTCCTGGGCAGGATCAGGGATATACACTCCAACGTCTGCTCCTTTAATGTTCATATTGCAAACACAGATACAGCAGCTATCAAAATTGCAATCCTTAAACAGATTCATCACAGACTCTGAAAGAATGAGGTTAACGTAAAGGCTGTGGGCCTCTGGGATTGATGGTACAGTGGCAGGCTCTACAGAGTTCAATGGTCTGCAAGTTGATGGTGTTGAGGCTGGAGAATACAAATCAGAATTTTCATATTTGACTGATCCCTGAACACTGGCTGGACCACCACCTGCTCTTGGAGTACGTGGTGTTCGTGGAGTCCTTGGAGTTGGAGCAGAAAAGCGAGGTGTAGCAGGAGAAGGAAGGATACCTGCCCCACCATTGCTTGGTGGGGCACTATTGGACATTCCAAATGGTGTATGGGTCTGTGGTGTGTAAGTCTGTACATATTCTTGATCGATTGCACTGCTGACACTAGAAATATTCCTGAAAGAGAAAAAAGCTGTGTCAGGATGGGGCTAAAGACTACATAATAATTTTAGTAGTTAATACTTTAACTAGGTAAGAGTATATTACTAACAGAGAGAAAAAGTACTGCTAGGTGTAGTAAGCCAAAAGCCAATGCTCACATACTGTATTTTACATATGGATGAAAACCCGAAATAGACCTACTCAAATATAAAAATGTTCAATAAACTTACCCATCTTTAATGAAGGGCATTGCAGCTACAGGAGGAAGAAGATCTAACTTTCCAACAGTCCAACTGGGACGGTAAATGCACTCATCTGGCAGCTTGATGGGTGTCAAACACTGGCTAGGAAGAGTCTTTAAAGGGGCAAACATGGAACACCCCACCATCACTTGACATGTCTCTGGCCTGTATACAAAGGAGAAATCCTGCCACAAAGAAAACAATTCGTTTAGTGGAATAGCACACTAGCTCTATACCAGCTGCATTATGGTAAACTATAAACAAATATTACTTACACTATGCGTTTGATGGTGGTGTGGAGGCAGTGTACTTACATTAAGAAAAACAGAATTTTGCAATATTATATTGGCACAGATATATTTGACAAGGCATCCTAGTACTCAAGCTGAACAATTTTAAAAATTGAGAGAGGAAAAACAAAAAAGGGAAACAATGAAGGAGTATGTTGCAATAAAACACCCTCTACACCTAGGTACAGGCACGTTATGACATGTTAGCATGTGCATAATCACTTCTGAACAGCACCCTACTGCGCACACTGTGTAAAATACATGAACTTCAGCACATCACAACACAGGATGTTCATTAGGAAGCATGGTATTGCCCAAAAGAAGCATAGGTATGTGTTTTCTTCTGTATGTTGAGGCTCTTTAAGAACCTATTAACTCATGCATAGGTGTTAATAGAGTCTGAAAATCAACAGTAAATATTTAAAGGATCGCCACTTATTAAAATGCTAATCCTAGAAAAAGCCTCTGGTTGAAAAGCTAAATTACTGGCATATATCAGTTTATAGTCACAGAGCTGATGCTAAAAGCACCAGTTCTATCTGGCTGCATAATTTTACAGAATGTCATTGCAGAGCAGTCAAAAGTCTAAATGTGCTAGCAGTTATTTCAGGTCACCTTCTTAAAATAAGGTCACTGATGTGTTTAGTAAGATTAATGTCAAATATCTATATAGCAGTTATGACGAAAATAAACACACGTTTGTAGCTGAGCTGTTTGACCACTTATCTACCAGGTTAGTGTTCATTTCTTACACACATTAAAATCTACTTTTCTTAGATATCACTGTAAATCCTTCAAAAAGTACATATTTTCTGAAAATAGTTGCAATATATTTCGCACAATATTTGTGCATTCATCAAATACATATTTTCAGGAAAAAATACACCAAAACGAATTTTAGCACAAACGTTATAATATACCCATTTTCCAGTAAAGTATATTAGGATGTGTTGCTTAGAGTAACTAGATACCAAGCATGCCAAGTCTTAAAAATGCAAACACCTGTGGAATTGTAAAAAATATGGTACCCATAATGCTTTAAAAGCCATCAGTTTAGAGTTAAAGTGATTGTAAACCCTTACATATAATACACAGTGAAGTGACTGGCCTCAGGTGATACACAGAGATGAAACAAATCCTCCTACATAAGCTGTACCTGTCTATCTCCAGTCTTTTCTGCTCTACATCCATTTAAAGTGCTTATTTTTACAGCTTGTCTGAGAATTCAGAGAAAAGGGGGAGAAGAGCTAAAGTTACACTCTGCAGTGTAGAGAGTTTTGAGAGCTGATTGGAAGGAAGACACACACACACCCTCCACACAGGAACAGAGCTGAGGCTATTAGTCTGCTGGAGGCCCTCCCCATCACCATTTTTCTCCTGGTGTCAGGAAAACTTGTCAGAAGTGATTCATGCTGATAGAGGAAGGGAGCAGCAGACAGACATGACACTTAGTGCTCTTAAATGAGATTTAGGATATGCTTTGTTCATACATGTCAGATTTACAACCACTTTAGCCATGAATTATGGCCCTAGAATTACTGCCCTCACTCCAATGTTTGCAGCGATATCTCACATGTGCAGGCCAAACGCTGTTTAGGTACACATGCTTGCCCTATGCTGCGCTTTTTTATATGATGTTTTTGCGGGGCAGAATACATTTTGTTTTGTGCTATTATACACACACACACACACACACACACACACACACACACACACACACACACCCGCACACGCGCACACACACACGCGCACACATGCACACAGCTCCAAAAAAAACGAAAGAAAAACTCTGAAAACACAACATATTTTAATGGGGAAAAATATCATGCTGGATATCTATACTGATATGGACTGGGTAATGTGCAAGGATGCCCCATCATTTGATGGAAAAAAAAAATTATCAACCTACTGAATTCAAAGACACCCCAAAAATCAAAGTGAAAAAATTATGCAGCAGGCTAGTCCATTTTGCTGAAATTTCATTGCAGCAACTCAAAATGGTATGCTGTAGTTTGTATGGCCCCCACATTTTTTTTTTCTTGTTTCAATAAAAAGGTAAACTACATATGCTGGATATTATTTAGAAAGGCAAATATTTTGAGCACAGTTAATGTCTGTGCAGCAGTCAGAAGAGATCGTACTTAAATATTGCTGTATTACAAGGCTAAGTGATTACACTAGTGTGCTTGTCTAATGTCAAACCAAGTGGTCCATATTTTCCAGAAATTTTATCGTTTCTTAGGGCCAACATCTTCTCATAAATATAATGGTATCTGAATTAGTTATATAACCCCAGAAGAGTTAAGAGCAAGAACTTTTTTTTCCAATGTTCAGTCATAGCTACATTTATTAGAAACTCTTCTGCTAGCTCTTAAAGCCGATATCACTTGCTGCAGCTGTGAGCTTGATTTAACCACTTGCCTACCGTGACGTTTATAAACATACCTTGGTAGACAAGAGGTGACCTATTTATCTGTATTACTTCTAAAGCTGTGTGCCAAGAATCAGATTTCAGTTTACTGCAGTGTCTTACATAGATTACCTTAATTTCAGTGTGCTTGGGGCTGCAGAATCCCTCTTCAACTTCTATTTTAAATTGAGCAGTTATTCCATCAAGTGTTGTTGCTCCTGGTGTGGAGTCCATGTTGTTATATTCTTTGCTGTTCATGTTCATAGGAGAGAAGCCCATAAAGTGTTGCTCCAAAGATGGTGGAGTGGGATACATTTTATGAAGATCAGCTGTACCTAGAGAATCATTTGGAAGAATTATTTTGAGTTGCACAGTATTTAAGGATGGGATATGCAAGTTATCACGCCAATAGCCACCAGTGCTGAACAGGTGCTATAATGCAGCTTGGGTATATAAAACATAACCCACAGTAAGTAAGCCAAGTCCACAGCCATAATCAGGGCACTTTTAATGCTGTACTTTGCCAACTTTAAAAAACACAAAAAAGTCATGCAACTCTGCAATTATAATCTTTTACATCTTCCTTTCCTTAGAGCTGTTCTGGAATTATTATCCTGACAGTTTAAATATTGTTGTTTCCTAAAAGATTTCCAGGAACTGGGCTCGAGTTGTAAAGATTATCAAAAAATGATCTCAGATCTCTATATATGTGCAGGTGCCTGAAGCTAGCTTTCAAACAGACTTGAAGAATACACAGCTAAAGTGAAATGCCTACTTTTTAATTTTATCTCCATTTAATGGTTTTTCTATCTGTACATGGTTCCTGGCATTTCAATAAAAACATGTTCCGTACAGAAATTCAACATGCTAATACTAAATCTTTTTTTCTGGTTAATATAAAATGCAAGAAATATAGTACTTACTTATGCAAGACAGAGGGTCTAGGTTTACAGATTTGGAGTCCTTGCTGCTGTTCTTGTCATCAGTATTCTGGGTCCTTTTTAATCCCGGCTAAAAAAAAAAAAAAAATTTGGAAACCTCATATTTCATATTGTACAAAAAATCTGATCTCTTAACCTCTTGCCGACCGCGCATAGCCGAATGACGGCTTCACCGCGGCCGGCCAGTTCTGAGTGGACGTCATATGACGTCCTCCCAGAACGCGCTCTCCTGCGCGCCCCAGGGGGCGCGCACCCGGCGATCTCCGTGATCGCTGTGTCCTACGGACACAGCTGATCACGTGATGTGGTGAAAGGCCGATCCCACCGGCCTTTTACCACGTGATCAGCGGTGTCCAATGACACGCTGATCACAGGGAAATGCAAGTGCCGGTTCTCGGCTGCACTTTCCTCACGCTGTCAGATCGTGAGGAAAGTACTGCCGAGAACCGGCAGTTGTCAGAGCGGGGATCGGCACCGATCATCAGGGCACTGATGATCAGTGCCCTGATGATCGGTGCCCAGCAGTGACACCCGCAAGTTCCGCCCAGCAGTGCGCCCACTAGCCCCGCCCACCCGTTCCCAGCAGTGCCCCCACCTGTGCCCAGCAGTGCACCCACCTGTGCCACTCTGCAGTGCCACCTACCTGTGCCCAGAAGTGCCACCCACCTACATGTGCCCAGAAGTGCCACCCACCTGTGCCCACCCACCTGTGCCCACCAGTGCCACCCACCTGTGCCCACCAGTGCCACCCACCTGTGCCCACCCCCACCAGTGCTGCCCACCAGTGCCACCCACCAGTGCTGCCCACCAGTGCTGCCAGTCAGTGCCACCAGTCAGTGCCCAGGGGTTGTGCCAGTCAGTGCCGCCAGTCAGTGCCCAGAAGTGATGCCAGTCAGTGCCGTCTATCAGTACCCATCATCAGTGTCACCTATCAGTGCCGCCTATCAGTGCTGCATATCAGTGCCGCCTATCCGTGACCCCTAATTAGTGCTGTCTATCAGTGCCGCCTATCCGTGCCACCTCATTAGTACTGCCTATCAGTGCCCTTTAGTGCTGCCTATCAGTGCCCATCAGTGCCGCCTATCAGTGCCCATCAGTGCCGCCTATCAGTGCCCATCAGTGCCGCCTCATCAACGCAAATCAGTGGAGAAAAAATACCTGTTTGAAAAATTTTATAAAAGAAACAAATAAACTTTTTTTTTTTTCAAATTTTTTGCACTTTTTTTTAATTTTATAGCGCAAAAAGTAAAGCGCCCAGTGGCGATTAAATACCACCAAAAGAAAAGCTCTATTTGTGAGAAAAAAATGATCAAAATTTCATATGGGTACAATGTTGCATGACCGCGCAATTGTCAATCAAAGTGCGGCAGCGCTGAAAGCTGAAAATTGGCCTGGTAAGGAAGGGGGTATAAGTGCCTGGTAGGCAAGTGGTTAAAGAACTTTTTCAATTTGATTTTTCAAACAGAATTTACCCAATAACCAAAAGGGCTATATAACACACCATCCCCACTCCCCAACATCCCTAGAGGCAAAATACAGTCATTGTAAATGTGGATCAAGCCATAAAGTTGTTACATACCGTAAGCTCATCTTCATCAGAATTGAAAAGGTTATCCAGATCAGTATAAGAAACAACAAGGTCAGTTTCATGAAAGAGACTAGTGGATGCTGTTCTGGCATGAGCAGATGGTCGCTGAGACTCTGCAAATAACCGATGATAGACATGTAAACAAACTATATATACACATTAAAAGTATATAATATGGGCTCTTTTCTTTGCTTATAAAGAGTCTTTACTAAAGCCTAACCTGTGATAACAAGTACTGGGCAACCACTGCTATCCTCATTCTAAAAATGCTAGTTGCTTGGCAGCAATATGAAATCAATGGCTTCAAAATTTTCTGATTTGCGGACCCAGAAAAAGTAAGCAGATCAAAGTCCGAAGCAAGTCAGAACTTTGCATACTTGTTCTGGGTCAGAGATATAAAGCATAGTAAAATTTATTGCAAGGAGCGTGCCCACTTTCATTAAAGCATACCATAAGTAACTGCTAGACTTCATACTAATACTTGCACACCGGGCTTAAAAAAAAAAAAAATTTTGCAATTTGCTTGTAGAAGAGGATCGGGACTGCTCTGTGCAAAGCCATTGTACAGAGCAGGTACGTATACCATGTTTGTTATTTTTTTACTTTTTTTTAAAAATTAAAACTTTTAGCCCTCATGCACACTGGATGTTTTTACAACTGTTGTTTTTGGCTTTTGGGGTTTTTTTTCTGCAGCCAGTAAACTCACCAGCATGTTATCCTATGTGAACATGCGCACACAGGCTGTAATCAGTGTTCTTGCCAGGGGCATTTTTTTGAATGAACCCCCCCAGAACTAGTGGGTTTCTAGAAGAGTTTTTTTAGCTGTAAAAACAAAAAACATCTAAATGCTGAAAAACACGGTAAAACCACATTTTTGGACATTTTCTTGAGCAAGAAGAAAGTGTTTTGGGCAAAAAAAAAAAAAAAACCGCTAAAAAAAACCCTGCAAGAGCAGCAAAACGTTAATGCAACAACGTTTTTAATGTGACTTTACACAGCTAACGCTACCAGCGTTATTAAAACGCCCAGTGTGCATGGAGCCTAAGAATCACTTTAAACTTTGCTCTATCATTTCAAAATTGATAAATGGTAACACTAACCTTGTTTAACTGCTGGGCTAAATAATGACATAGCGTCTTCAACTTGCGGTAACACTGCAACATTTGACATGTTGTCATCAGCCTACAAAGAGAATTGAAGGCTTTAGAATACTGAAAATGAACACAGCCTAAAAAGCAACACCAACAAACGATTAATGTTTAGATTACATAAACAGCTGAAACAAAGAAACCAAAAATCTATAATAATGTAAAAGCAATACACACTTCATTTGCACAAAGATTTCAGTAAAACCACAAAGCAAGGTCACCTTACCATACAAAAGGAAGTCAGTGCCATTATAAGTATGCTTAAAAGTACATGTATGAAGTTAATAAAGTTGCCCTTCAGTACAACCAATTCCAAAAAAGTGTTGGGACACTGTAAAATCTACATAAAAATGTAATGTAATGATTTGCAAACCTCAAAAGCTAATATTTTATTCACAAAACATACCAAATGTTCAAACTGAACAAACATACCATTTTTAGAAAAGATAAGGTATTTTAGAATTGGCAGCAACACATCTCAAAAAAGTTGGGACAGGACAAAAAAAAGCTGGCAAAGTACCGTATTTTTCGCTCCATAAGACGCACCTGACCATAAGACGCACCTATGTTTTAGAGGCAGAAAACAGGAAAGAAAAAATTCTGAACTAATGGACTGCAGACATAGTAGAGGAGATGACCAGAGACTGCGGACAGTACAGGGATGATCAGAGACTGCGGACAGCACAGGGATGACCAGAGACTGCGGACAGTACAGGAGATGACCAGAGACTGTGGACAGTACAGGAGATGACTGCTGACCTTTGGGGAGGGAGGGGGAGTGGGTACCTGAAATTGAGAGTTTTTCTTTGATCTTACCTGTTCCTCTATCCAGCCGCGCGCTGTCTTCCCGGCTTCTGTAGTGTGGGCGCTCGGCGGACAGCCCGATGCCCAGTGCGCATGCGCGAGAAGCGCTGCGCTTTGTGATTGGTCCGGCGGCTTCTGGGATCTGTCATGTGTCCCAGGTACCGCCTTACCATTCACAAAGAGCACCGCTTCTTGCGCATGCGCACTTGGGACCCAGCTGTCACGCACACTACAGAAGCCGGAAGACAGCGCGCCGCTGGATAGAGGAACAGGTAAGGTCCCACTGCAGAGCTGAGCGGCCGGCCCCAGTATTCTGACATGGCGGCGGTGGAAATACCGGACCGGCCGCTCCATATTCACCCCATAAGACACACTGACATTTTCCCCCCTTTTTTGGGGGGAAAAAAGTGCGTCTTATGGAGCGAAAAATACGGTAAGTGGTACTAACAAGGAAGAGCTGGAAGAACCTTTTGTAAAAGATACAACCAGGTTTTAGAACACCATATGCTCCCATCCAGATGTCGTCTTTTTCAGGGAAGGCCTTGTATATGTCATCAGGACAGGCTAAACCACATACTGCTTCTATGACAACAGCATAGCTTCATAATAGAAAAGTCCAGGTGCTTAACTGGCCTGCCTGCAGTCCAAACCTTTCACTAAATGAAAATATTTGGCACATTTTGAAACAAAAATACAACAAAGACGACCCAGGACTGTTAAGCAGTTAGAATCCTATGTCAGGCAAAAATGGAACAACATTCCTCTCGCAAAAATCGAACAACTGCTTTCCTCAGATCCTAGACATTTAAAGAGTGTAGTTAAAAGAAGTGGAGATGTGTTGCTTCCATCAATTATAAAATTATCTTATTTTTTTTTCTTAAAATGGTACAATTTCTCAGTTTAAACATTTGGTAGTAGTGTGCTAACTTTTTGGGAATTGGGGTTGTACACAGATCAGGGTACGAGATGCATGCATTGGGAGGTCTAGGAAGGGGGTCTGGCCAACTTTTGATATAACATGTCCATGTCTTAACATTCAGGTTTACGCAATAAACACAAACATGGAAAGAACACCAACTTCTCAGAATGCCAACTTGTAATTGAAAAAAAAAAAAAAAAAAAAAAAAGGGGCGGCAGAAAACTACTTATTGCCAATTTAATAAACCCTTTTACTACCACAAGTGAAAACGGCTTGCAGCTGGCCAACTCGGTAAACTTTACAGCGGCCGCATTGCCGTCTGCTTATAAAGCTCATGGTCACTTCAGCAACCATGAATTTATAGCAGAGGAGTAACCCTAGACCAGCCTCTTTCAACCAGGGTGCCTTCTACATCCTTTCAGAGTGCCTGGGCAAAAATCTAATGCTGCTCGAAATTAGCCAAAAATTGTCAACAAGCCAGGAAGTGGATCAGGCCCGTCTTTTTATGCCAGAAAAGCCACGTTATTTTTGTGAAGCATTACAAACTTGGGCACCTTGAGCATGACCTCAATGGTTGATAAGAAGGACATTGGGTACCTGCACTTCTTCCTTGACCTTCTCCATCAGCACTGGGATCACATTAGATGAGTGGGGGGTAGAAGAGAAACACCTGAGTGCTAGTCAGAACCAGTCTCCAAAAGTATATTTGCTTTGTAAAAAGAAAATCACTGCTAATGTTGGGCATCTCTATGTGCATGGATGTTGCTGTGACGTGTAAAACTATTCATTTTTCGTTTTATATTTTAGATTGAGGTGCCTCCAGATTTTAAGGGGTGGTTTGACTGAAAATAGTTGAGAAACACTGCCCTAGACTATGCCAATTCATGAATAGCTGTGACCAATGACTGTAAAAAACTGGTGGCAGCTATTCATAAAAAAAATAAAAATGTGACTGTCCCTCACAGCACAGTGTGCCCTACTTGTCACCAGTTACTTCCCAGCCTGTTCCCACAATCTGATTCACTATCATGTCCCCCCACAATGGGCTTTGTATCCCCTCAATTTCTGTTGCTCTCCCCCAGCCTCCACCAGCAGAGACAGTGGGTTGAGGAGGAAGTATATTATGGGGCACACGGGAAGGAGGGGCTGTGGAAACCGGATCTCTTTTTTTCAGGATGGTGAGCAGAGAGATAATTAAACATATCTTTCATCTTTCGCTTCCCTGAATAAACATAGTATTATTCAGTATTAAACACTCCCCATGTTCATTCATAACAGGTTTAGGATCTCTGCTGTTTCTGAACAAACACTGGAGTCCACAGTACTGAGTATCTCTGGGTTCAGTGAATGCTGGGCAGAAAAGGAGGAGATTGAGGACTCGATCTCAAATGATAAATATTAGAGCTCTGTTTAGACCCTTAATATTTCCCCAAAGTGGTGACAATAGTAGGAATTTTGAAAGTTGTGTTTGTGTAACAATTTTTTTTTTTAATATAAAATATTGTTTTCATAAACATTTGTACAACTATGAGATTGATTGAGGATTTTCTCCAAGTAAACCCTGCCCTAACAGAATGCACAACACTAATCTGCAGTTATACTGTGGCAACACTGGCAGCACTAGAATACATATGACTTCGTTTTTAAGAGTACAATGAAAGCAAGTTGTTTAATGATAGAGGATTCTAACAAGGCATTAATGAACAGAAACAAAATGTACACATTTAGAAATAACTCCTTCTCCAAGCAGAAAAATGATGGCATGTTAATGCAATCTGATATATCACAAAAAGTCTAACGCTTCACTGAAAATTGTTGCAAAGGGGAGGAGAATAATTCACCGAGTGATCTACCACACCCCACTTAAATGTCTATGATGAGTAACAAAAGACAACTTGTTTAGCTGAAAGGGCAGAGCAGGTTCCCACGCATAGCCTTATATATTACAGGGATACTTTTAAACCCATTAGCATTACTGGAGGGAAACAGGCTGTCGAGACTCAGGGCCTGTTCACACAATGGTGCAGAGATGTCAGTTTTTCTGCACGGGCACAACAAAATCAATTGTTCTCTATGCGCCCTGTTCACACAACACTAGTATCACATGCAGATTTTTTTTCTGTGCAGGAATCTGCAACATGTATAGAATTAATTGAAGAGTGCATGAAAACTGGTGTATGTCTCTGCAGGTGAAATCTGCGCATTAATTTTTCTGCACGTATGGTGTATATGAGGCCTTAAGGGAGAGAGAACATAATGAATGAATGAACAGAATATCTCAGGGCTCGTAGAGACATCAGTTTATATCATTACTTTAATGAGTTTTATACATGTTGCAGATTCCAGCGCAGAAAAAAAAATCTGCATGTGATACTAGTGTTGTAGTGTGAACAGGGTACACAGAACAATTGATTTTATGCCCTTACAGAACGAGTTCAGAAAACCTGACGTCTCTGCACCATGGTGAGAATGAGCCCTCAATGTCAAGTCAGATGTACTAGAATATAGCCACTAGAGAAGGAAGTGGGTTTAAATTGAAACCACCATGAGTTGAATCTTTCAAAACACTGGGTCCAGAAGACCAAGAATTGCTATACAATCATATCTTCTAGCTGGATTACATATCTGTGGGCAAGCAATCCCAGTCACAAAAGAGATTGTAAGGTTCTAAACATTTCATTAATAGTAGTGGTTAATTAGCAAGTCAAAATATGAAAGGAGCCACCAGGGTTAAGGTAATAAATGTTTTGTCCCTGGTTATCGGAACACTTTTTTTTCTTCAATAACCATGCAAGCAAACAAGTAAACAAACTGAACTGATCCAGGCAGAATTTAAAAATAAAACCAACCTTGTGTTTTTTCCCCGCTTCTCTTTCACTTGTCTGCCTTTCCTTTTTAGCATCAAAGACAAACTCCACATCGCCATCCACAAATGCATAGGGATCAGGTTCTTGCTCACTGTCTAACACCGTTGTTGGTATATATTGGTTTTTACTTTGATACTTTTGGAGCAAATCCTCTGAAATCTTCAGTGTTCTTTTACAGTGCACCATTAATCTGGAAAGTAACGGTAGACCATCAGAAAACCAACCTGTTGTGAAATCATATAAAGTATGCAGGAGTTGAACTTTGAGCACCTACGTTTAAAGATTAACTCCACCCGTATTTAGGGTAGAATATAAATCTAAGCAAACTTTCCCCCAAACCGGGTTCTTCTGTCCCACAGCCACTTTGAAATCGGCATGGCTGTTTGGACCTCCACACGCTAACAGTGTACTATACACAAAACAGTACTAGACTTACATCGGATTAACCAGTTTTTGTTTTGGTTGTATTTAACAGGTATATTAAAACGCTTTCATTTGTATTATTAACCACTTGAGTCCCCCAGGCCTTCTTTCCCCTCCAGGGAAATCATCTGTAAGTAATCAATGCATGAGCGATTACACTGGAACAGCCAGGAATAGCTGCAGATGCTGACAGCCTCCCACTGCTTTCAACGGACCGTCCTGTGTGCAACTAACTTTGCAGGGAACCCCACTGAGTCTCCGGTGGGTAATTGCACTCTGCCCCAATCACAAGGGTGAATGTTGCCCATAACAGGTGAATGTTGCCCATAACACCCTTGAGTCCCAGAGTGTTTTTTGATTTCAGCAGTGTGTGTGTGTTTACATATGTATACAGGGACTAAATCGGATCTTTGGTTTACCTGTAAAATTATTTTCTTGGAGTACATCACAGGACACAAAGCATCTTTATAGCCATTAAAGTAATACTAAACCTAAAAATGTTTTTACCTTAATGCATTGTTTTCATTAAGGTAAAAAAATGGTTCAAGTATCCCTGTGCTACCGCTTCCCTGTGTGAAGGGGAAGAGAGCGGAGACTAAATCAGCGCTGTGCACAGCTGCATCTCTTCTCCCCTCACTTCCTCTTCACATAGGGACTCAAACAGCAGCAGGAGCCATTGGCTTTTGCTGTTGTGGATCAAATGTAGTGAAGAGGAAGTGTAAGGGCGGGGCTAAGCCCCTCTGTGTATGCCTATGAAGTGCAGCTCCATAGACACACAGGTCAGGAGCATGAAAACAGCTTGCTATAGGGGACACAGTGTAAGCCGAGATCAGCGGAGGGGGACCCAAGAAGAGAAGGATCGGAGGCCGTTTTGTGCAATACCACTGCAAAGAGCAGGTGAGTATAACACGTTTGTTATTTTAAGTGAAAACAAATTCAGACTTCAGTAACACTTTAAGGTAGGATTATATGCTACCACCTTCAGGTGACTAGACAATGGCAAAAAAAAAAAAAAAAAAAAAAAAAAAAACCCCACATGCACCATTTCACTTTTTTGAACAATTCAGAGCACCGTATTTTTACCTTCGTATTTTCATCTCTAAGCCTATCAAGAGCGCTCTGAAAATCTTTCGTTCGTGGGTGTGTCTACAGACCAGAGCTTGGGAGGCGGAGCCATGACATCACTGGCTCCACCTCCCAGCTGTACACACACACTAGCATGGTGCTAGAAGCATGCTAGCACATCACTCCCCGCTGGGAGGTGGTGTGTACAGCTGGGAGCTGGGGCCAGTGATGTCAGGACCCCGCCGCTCACGACCTGGAAATTTTCACAGAGCTATGACAGGCTTAGAGATGAAAATACAAAGGTAAAAATACAGCACTCTGAACTTGTAATAAATAATCTATAGAATGATTCACGTGTTTGAGAAATGATTCATATAAGGTTAACAACCACTTAAAAGTAAAACAGACCTCCACTCAGGCTGAGACAGCAGGAGCTAAGGACACTCTCCCTTCACTCATACTTGTGCATGAGTCTCCTTTGCACGCTTGTCAATAAAAGGAGAGGGAGCATGGCGAAAACTTTTTTTTGCATGTGTCAGCTTTTTTTCCCGTAGTAAAATCGGGGAGGATTACAGATGACAGGCTGCTTGGTTCCCTGCCACACTGAGCACAAATGAGTTGTGCTGCTTTGCTGAGTTAAAACATTCAGTTTACTTTTTGTTATCTGGGTTTACATTAATTTTAACATCCACTTTATAAACGTATGAACCGAAGAACAGGTAGCAGCTTTACAAAGTTTTACCAACTTGAGCTAGCAAAGCCTGATGAGGAAAAGCTCAGGAAGCACCAACAATCCTGGTAGAAAGAGCTGTCATCAAAAACAGCACAACCTTGCTCTTCAGACCGCAAGCCTAAGAAATAAGTTGACAAACTCATCGAGAAATAGTAGGCTTGAAAGCTGCATGACCCTTCCTTGGGCCTTCAGGGAGCACAAAGAGGGAATCCGACTCTGGAAAAGCAGTAGCCAACTTCAGGTAACACCTGATAGCACAAACCACATCCAAAGTATGAAGAGCCTTGTCCCCCCAACATCTAAGACTTAGAAAAAAGGATGGCAACACAATGTCCTAGTTGAGATGGAAGAAGACACTACAAAAATGATGGGTGGGGTACAGAACCATCTTATAGCAAAGCACTAGGAAACGTTCTTTACAGGAAAGAGCAGACAAATCCAAGACTCTGCAAGCCAAAGTAACGGCAAACAGAAATATAACTTTCCCTGTAAGAAGTACCAAAGAATATCCCAGATAGGTTTAAATGTAGGTTTCTGCAGTACAGAAAGCACCAAGTTGAGGTCCCACAGAGTCAATGGAGTTCTGACCTGTGAAACAAGTGTGACGCCTTGTTCAAAGGAACACACCAAGGATTGTGAAGCAATCTCTGAAAAAGGACCGCCAAGACTGAAATCAGACCCCAGATTGTACTGAAGTCCAAACTTTTAACCACTTTAAATTGCAAAACGACTACAATGCGACCACACAAACTAGCGACAATCAAATCCCCTAGCTTCACACCAAGCAAAAATATTATTTCTAAGTTCTATGGTAAATCTTCTTTGATGCAGCTTTGTGAGTCTTCAGTATGGTACGATAGACCGAATAAGACTCCCGCCTCTCAAAATCCTTGCTTCAACAGCAGTGCAGTTAAAAGCTAGCAACTGTAAAGGATGGAAGATTGGACCCTGTGCAAAGGTCAGGGAGGACCCAAAGGCTATCTGCCAACATGTTTCCCATGTTGGAGTACCACATTCTCCTGGGCCAGATCTGGGCAATCAAAATCACCAGAATTCCTTCCACTCGAGTCCTGTAAAGCAGACGAGGTAGAAGCTGTAAAAACTGGGAGGCATAAATTAGGTGAACTGGTCCCGCGGTGTCTACAGAGCATCCACCGCAAATGGCCAAGAATACCCGGAATCAAACCTCTGCAGCTTCAAATTAAAGCTGGACACCCGAGTGCCCCACCACCGACCAATGCAGTAGGGCAAGACAAAATCACCCTCAAAGTCTGGAATCCAACGGAGCAAAGGACACCACTTCAAAAGGAAGCTGCCATCTTTCCTAGAACCCTCATACAAAAGACAAATCAAGAGATTTGTCGATAACTTGAGCATGTTCACTTGAGTCTTCATAGCAAGACATCTGTCCAGAGGGAGGATCACTCTTAACTGGACAGTAACCAGGGTCAGGTCTAAATATTCCAACGTCTCAGCCGAGACTAAGGCCAACGTCTTTAAATTTGGAACCCATCCAAACCTCTCCAAAGTGTGCACTGTGAATGAGACATTGGTCTCCAACAGTGAAGCAAACTGCACCCTCAAAATTAAGTTGTCCAGGTACCTTATGACAGAAATACTATGGGTACTGCAGGTGTCCCAGGACCAGAGCCAGGATCTTAGTGAACACTCTGGAAGCTGTGGGTAGGCTGAAAGGCAAAGCCGCAAACTGAAAATAGTGATCCTTAGCTGCAATTCACACAAACATTTTTGGTGTGGTGGAAAGAGTGGAACATGTAGCTAAGCATCTTTAATATGCACTGCACCAGGAAATCTCCCACCCTCTCATCATGCAATGATCCCAGACCTTAAGACCTTGGAAAACTCTTATATGCGCAATTGCTGGCTGTAATGCTGCCCCCACCACAGCAAATGAGACTATACATAATGATTTCAAACATTTGCCCCAGGCATCCTTAAAAACTTTGATATTGTTCATTGGGTACATGAGGTTCTTACTGAGACAGAAAACAGGATCAACTGAAGGCATACGCCATTTCTTAGTGAACTCACACTCCAAGGGAGATTGTTGAGCAAATCTTTTGGGTGGAACGAACACCTTGTCAGTGTGAGCCCAATCCATATACAAAACATCCTTTAAATAGGAAGGAAGGATTAGGCTACAATACAAATCCTGAGACTTTTGGAGTAGAACAAATCGGGAAGCATTAATTTCAAATTAGTTTGATCATATTTCAGAAGAAAACTCAAATGCTTTTTGGTTCTGAGATAAACTCTGACTATGGAGTTATTCAGAAGTGGATTCTTCTACATCCTCTTTAACTTAAAACAGACTTCCTGTCAAATCCCAACTATACTTAAACCTGCTCCCACCTCCATTTTAAGTCTATTCGAACTACCCTGTAAATGAAAGAGGTCTATAATTACCTATTCTGAGGGAGCTCCAGTCTCTCAAGCAGTCAGCTTCAGTGAAGAGAAAATATCACTGACAACGGCTGAAGAGTCTGGATGGTGCGCTGTCGCCCATAAGCTGACTATGGGGCATCTGCTGTCCGCTATTCCTCCTCCACACTGAAGCGAATGAGACATCAGGGATCGCTATTTAACCCCTTGTCTCCCCTGCATGTCATTGAAGCTGATGTTCTGGGGGTCTGTGGAAGCAGTTTGTTGGCTTGTTAGGTTTAAACACATTCATAGCTGTTCTAGCATTTGGGACTGTGTGTAACCCCCGCTGTCCAGGCACACAACCTGAACGAGTCAGAGAAGACACCCACCTCCTTCTTACAATTGGACAGAAGAAATCAATTGAGAAACCAAGACTTTTACACTCAACATACATGCATACTTATACATACAGTATACACTGAAGGTTAGCTTCAAACCTATGACTGTATGAAGAGTAACCTAATCAACAGGATCAGATGAACTATGGGACCATACCAAATTAAAAAAGCAGGAAACATGAGGGGGAGCACAGATTGAAAAGTATCCATTTCAGACACCCATATATTTACATATACAACTCACTCTGTGACCGAAGTAATGTTTTCCTTTCCAGAAAGACCAAAAGCATCATCTTTCAGCTTATCACTCGGAAGTGGTGGAGGAAGAAACTCTGACTCTTTTCTCTTTGGGAGTTTGTAATACATCCAGGTATTGTCTGCTTCTTGTTCCTCTAGATGAACTGCAGTGCCAACATACACCGTTGGCTCTAGGACTTCAGTGAATGCTGCAGCAAAGGTTTGGGATAATCCATCTAATCTTTCATCTATTGCTTTTGCTGGGTTTAGTGGATCTGGTGTTGGCATTTGATAAAAATGTTGACTCTGAGGAGTAGATGGGTTTTTAATAGGTTCCCCTGCATCATCAAGACCCTCACAAGGGTGTGGACTTAAAGGAGGAGGTGGGGGTGAGCTGTTCATTTCATTGCCATGCAACTGTGGCGTTTTTGCTACATCGTTGGGTCGAATGTTTGAGAAACGTCCTCTACTGTCTTGGGAGCGAATGCCAAGTCTCTGGTTTGCAGTGTCTGTTTCCATACCAACATCATCAAAAAGAGGTACTCGATGATGGAAAGGAGTCAGTGGACGCTTCTGAGGCTTGTCACCCTTTTCCTGCTTTTCATTAGTCTTGTGCTTTTGGGCTGCTTGCTGCTGGGGCCCTGCAGGAGGCACCTGCCCTTGTTGACCTGAATTTCTCTGTTTAAGGTTTTTTGTGCCTGTAAGAAACAAAAAATAAAATAGCCACTCAATGCTACAATGCCTGAAATTAAACATCATGAAATCTTAAAGATTAACTCCATTTTTGGTGACAAAAAAAAAAAAAAAAAAAAACCACAATCTCCTCTGAGGGATCCTTGTACATTGCAGGAATTTTAGTAAACTTTGTGTCAGATTGTTACACTTTGCTACTCTGAAGACATCTGTTTTGGGTACCAATTCTAAATGGGAGGGACTGGATCATCCTAATTAGTTGCATCACTCTGTGTTCTGATGGCAAAGTTGTAGGGTCTGCATCCCTTCAAAAATATTACAACTCTTAAGGAGTATCTCACCAAAACTGAAGTTCTATTCACAGGGTGCCTAAAATGGAGTAGAATGGTATATATGCTATATTTGTTATTAGCGCTATTGCTTTTCCCCCCAAAAGTGGGGTTATCCAAAAACAACTTCTCAAACTAAAATAAATTCACACTACATAGGACCTGTGTGGATGGGTTTTGGGCTTGTGCTGATAGCATTAGCTTGACACTTCTGTGAACATTCAAAATTAAATGACAGGTGCAGTTAACCGCTTTCTTATCTGGCATTCACCTGCTTTTATTTTTGCATTCCCTTTGGGCCACATACACATAGCTCAACACTCCAAAATGCTCAACATCTTAAATCTCAAGTATTTCAATGATGGCTGTTCACATATGAGCGCGTAGGTGCCTGTAGCTTGATGCCCAATGCTCAAAAAACCGCATGAGCTACTTTTAGGAAAATACATACTTCAACAGAATGCCTGTAAACTCCTAAAAACACATGGTTTTACTTCTGGCCTCTTCCCCCTTACCTCCTCCTCCCCTCAGTCTTAGATCTCCATCTTATATTGGAATATATTAATATAATTATAAAGAATTTAAAAAAAAAAAAAACATAAAATAAAATGGTTTAGCTGCATTATGACTGCCCCCAAGCACTCACCCTTAAAATGGAACTTTAGTCAGAAAATTGAGTCCTGCTAGATCACTTCAGGCTGGCCCCGCAAGTATAGCTACGTAAAACTTTAAAAATAAGCGCCTATACTGTTGAAAATCCAGTGATTCACGGGCTCATCCTGCTCTGCACATGCTCAGCTACTCTCTATTTTTATTTTGTACAGGTACGTCACCTGGCCTGAAGCCGCCGCCAGCTACAACTACTGTGGATGGGCAGCAAGCGAAAGAGTGTAAAGCTTTTTTTTTTTTTTTTTTTTTTTAAATCATCAACATACCATAGCCATACTTACCTGCTATCTGCAATGATTTTGCACACAGTAGCCCCAAACCTCCTCTTCTGGGGTCCCTTGTTGGTGGCTTCTGGATGCTCTTCGGCAAGGGCTTCCATAGGAAGCCACTTCCAATGGGGGCACTTGTGTGGGCTCAATCCTGAGCCATGCTGCCAGTGTCCATAGACACAGACAGCATGGCTTGGGCCCTGTCCCCTTGTCACAGGATTTGACCAACAGCATCAGGAGCCAAATGGCTACCACTCTTGTCCTGTGAGCGGAGAATGCGGCGAGAACCACTGCTCTCGGGCACAGTGCTGAATTGGAAAAAGGCTCGGTATAGTATTTAGGGGGGGAGGATCCTGGTCAAAGAAGATTTTATACCTTAATGCAGAGAATGCATTAAAAGGTAAAAAAAAAAAAAACTTAAGCCTTTAGAACCACTTTAAGGTTCAAAAGGCAGCAGACTGGAGTGTGCACATACCACACCAATGATGCTTTGCAATGTGGCACAGCAGAAAATTATTCCACCTGCCATGTGTGACCCACTCAACCGAGTGGGGCTGCCCAATAACTGCATGCAATGAACGCAGTTGTGCCACGGTGGTGCATGTTGTAGGGGTTGAAACAGCTGCCGCATAGGCGACAAGGTAAGGTGCCCACCTCTCTCATTTTCTGAAATGGTGAACTGACCCTTTAAATAAAAAGGAAAAACTACTATTCAAAAGCTATAAATCATATCAAATCCCCAACTGAATCGCCAATTTTTTTTTTACCTTGAACAGGTACATGTTGTTCGTTGTGTAGCTTCCACAAAATCCCAGGATGGAATTTTGTCAGATGTCTCTTCTTCACACACTCCATTAGACGTAGCCGAAAACTTCCTTCTAACATAAGGAGACACAAATTTAAAACTGCAATTAAAAGCAAAATTAATTCAATAAACTAGCCTTTTCTCTTAACAGGAAATGACCTGTAAATTAATACTGGGGACACATCAAAAATACTGCATACCAAAGTCAAAGAGAACCTGTTATGAGCAGACTAGAAAACTTTGTAATTCATCTTTTGAGAATCATGGACACTCTAGCTAAAGTCAAGAAACAGCATCTTAAGCTAACGGACAATGGCACACTAACTCGCACTACCCAATGGGCCAGCCACATCGGGCAGGACTCAAAAGTCAGAACAAAGTCACTTGCTCAGAGAGTGTAGCTGGATTCACAGACCATGGGGTCACAAAGAACACAGAATGAGTTGGAAATTAAAGCTAGTTATGTATGTTTCTTCAATCCGCTAACTAAGGAGTGCAAATTTGATAAGCTTAATTTATAAAAATGAAAGCCTTCAGCTAACAGTGCCAACTTCAGGCTTATCAAGTGCTTATCTGTGGTGCCGACCATTTAATTGCGTAACTGTCAGACACAGTTGCACTATTAAAATTAGTCAAAATTACCACCAAAATAAAAAAGCATTTATGCCCTTAAAGTGTTACTTCACCTTTACCAACTTTTGCCACAAACCTCCTTATGCATTAGCATATCCTCAGTACATTAACATGCAGGACTCCATTTTGTAAAAGGATGGTTACTTTTTCAGTTGCTCATATCACTGCCCAACCCAGGACAGAGAAAGGAGAGCAACAGAAAGAGCAGTTGAAAAAGTTAGCATTTTTCTTTATAAAGTTGGGCACTGCATGTTAATGCACGAAGGACATTGCAATGCATAGAGATGTTTGTGTACAGTCTGTAAAGGCCGAAGCTGTTACATTTGGCCTGGGCATCTAGCATTTAATTAATTCTAGCCACAAAAGGGGTAGTGTATTTAGCTGGTCCCCTACATTACAGTTTACTATTTAAAATTGCTTGGTTGCTTGCTTAACATATGAACACACAACAGACAATCTGACATAATTTAAATAACCACTTGCTGAGTGGTGAAATGCAGGGCCACTCAAAGAGGTGAGATATTATGAGAACATGTTGCAAAACATCGCACAGCTATGGAACAGAGAGAGATCAGAACACACAGAAAACTATTGTTTTCTGTGTGCCATTACAGTTACCCATGTTTATCTAAGAGGAAAAAACACAGGTATCGGAATAGAATGGAAACTGTTACCAATGCACCAACTGTCATAATACAGAGTTAGCAGGACTTAGCTTTCCTGTGAAAGACGTACTGATCTATTCTTTATACCTGTAGGACCCAATGCACACTGTGCTTTTAGCCAGGGTTCATAGGGCTCTCACATTTGGCTGCAGGTGACTGGGACCAGTGTACTTTCCAGCCCCTCTGACTGCAGAGTGTCAACCCTGTCAATCACAGACTTGTTGCAATTTTGGGCATTGATCCCTGGATGCATACTGCCCTAAATATTTGTACCGTTAGATGTCCAGCTGCAGAAGCTGCCAGCCCCTCAAACAGGCTGCCGGCAACAGGGTTGGATGCTGCACCTGTGCTCCGCAGCACGTGTCCTACTGCTAATCACCAAGTGTACATGGGGCCTGAACCCTCACAAGCAATACACATAACTTACCTCTCTTTAGAGAAGTAGTTGTAATTGAGTTATAATTTTAAGTGTTCAAACAATTTCTCATTTGAACTTGAACCGATGTATGAAAAAGGCAATAATTATGTAGCATTGAAAATTCACTCTTACATCATACCTCTTGATCAAAGATACTTACTTGTTTAGCGACCTGTTCATGTTGCACTCTTGCCAAACTCTATCTACAACCTGGTTAGCCAATTTTCTTGGTATTTTTCCACCATGATGACTAGTACTATCAGAATTAAAACAATCTGACACCGATGGAAACTTCATCCACTTCTGCGCCGTATGCACATCAACTGCAGAAAAAAATAGAGGGGGAAAGGAGAATATTTGAAAGTGGCTTCGTTTAAAAACACTAAAGATGTAATTAAAGGGTAGCTGTAGTGGTTGTAAAAGAACACCAATTACAATGTTAAGCAAATGCAGTCTGCCTTAACAGCAATCAAAATAACCCCCCAAAAAACAAACACACACGTGTGGCCTGATCCTGGAGTTAACAGCGAGCACCAGAGATACCTTCAATCACAAATTATGCCAGCTAAAGAAAAGTGGGTAGGTCTATCTCAAGTACAGAGCATAATGGCTAGAATGACAGACCTGCATACTAGTCAGTATTTTACAGCCAGAGATTTAAAAAAAAAAAAAAGAAAAAAAAAAACAAACAAAAAACACATTTCAAGCAGCAGATCATGCAGTGTTCAAGTAGTGGACAGCTACTTTCTTAGGTCTTGTTTCCTGCCCCCCACCATTAAGGCTTTAGTTGCAGAGGTAGCAGCAGAGATGTGCAAGGGTGCAAAGGAGATTCCCCCCCCACATTTCAGAAAACGCATTAAGATATATAGATACAGATATATATCTCTATCTATCTATATCTATAAAATTCTACCTTTACAACCACTTTTAGTTTCAGATTTCCCGACATTAATATTAAATTTTTTTTGTTTGAGAAAAAAAATAAAAATCTTATACCTGATAATGCACAGAGAAGCCCCTTGCCGTTTCTTTTGGGAGCTCTCTGCTACTTCTTGCAAGTGCCCCCATAGCAAGCTGTGCGCTATGGGTGCACCCATGTGGGAGAGCTCCTGAGCCAGGCTGTGCGAGTCCACAGACACAGAGTGCAGTTTGGCCTATGGCTCCCTCTGCTCTTGGAATCGCCTATGAGACCCAAACAGGCTGTGGCACTGCAGCCTGAACAGCGCTGGAGTGCAAGAGGACTCTGATACATAGTCATGGATATAGGGGGGGAATGCAGAGAATGCATTAAGGTTACAAAAAAATAACCTTTTGAGTTCAGAACCACTTTAATCACATCTACAATCCTTAAATCCAGGGAACTGATGGGACTGCCCTTGTAAGGTCAAAAGTACCCCCATGCACTCCCCCATTAGTGCACCAAAACTGACAACAGTTGCTCAGGGATTGTTCTGCTTTTCTCTGGATGAAATCAGTTTAAAGGGTTAAACTTTATAAATGCTAGTGACAAAACATTACAGTGAGAAGAGCATGTAAAAGACATACCTGTCTGAACTTCCTCTGGGGATGTTGGTGGGGTCAGCGTTACTGAAGACATGACTGGATCTCTAGAGGAAGCAGGCACTTGAGCACCTAAACAGGTGTTTGTACAGTGAGTGGACCCAGCGGGGCTAACTGTAGGGATGTCGGACTGAGGGACTAGCACAAAGCAAGCTGGATAGACCATTCGAACACCAGCTATAAAAGAAAAAACAAAAAAGTTATTGATAAACTGTTTACACAAATTATGAAACAGCAAACACAATTGTGAAACAGAAATACTAAATATTTTACAATCTCTGGTAATGTATGGTCATATGAGCATAAAACAGTTTTTGTTTAAAAGACTCCAGTATTTTAAGGTGTAGAATTCAGGCAAAACTGTCTGTAACCGATCTCATGCCATTGATATTTTAAATGCGCTCAAAGTAGAATGCTTTTCAAACAAACAAGGAGATTCTGTAGCCAAAACCTGCGAGATCTGGGATCTTGAATAAAAGACATTTAATTTTGAGGAAAAAGCAACAGGGGCCTCGGCCTACCTGATTTTAAGAAATATTATTTGGCAGCAATACTGAATAGTGTGTCTGACTGGAAATACAATTTTTATAGTAAATTGTGAGTTAATCTGGAAAATGATTTGAGTGACTCTGAACTAGCTACGCAAATCTGGCTCCTTAATAGATTCCGCAGACCTCACGTTCCCCCCTTATTAGGGCCTCATTATTGGTGTGGTACTTTATTCATGTGAAACTTGGTTGGCCCTCCAATTCTCCACTGAACAAGAGACTCCCATTTTCTTCTGGTGTTTTGAATCCACAATTTCAGTCCTGGCTCCCGAATAAACCACTGCTTCTCCACCACATAGGAGATCAAGGAGTGCTTCCATTGGAATCTCTCAACTTCTTCTGCAGTGCCATTCAGGGATCACTTGTGATATGCTCAAATTTCACAATTTGTTAAAGGCTAAGTTCACCTTTAGCCGGTCTACTCATAACATGTTACACCCTGAATATGGGTGTAACATGTAACATGTTATGAAAGGTGTACTTATCCTTTAAAGCTCTACCAAAGCCTCTACAATCCCTTAAAGATCTCACCCCTATTGGAAGCATCCTCATGTCTATGTCACCATTGAAGGCATATCTCAATTCTACCATGTCTTCCTTGACCTGGAGTCTACTTCCTTTCCTTACTACTTGTCCACTTGGGAACTGGACTTCCAAACCTCATTATCAGACAATAAAATTCCACAATCCTTCACCTGTGCCACAACTTCTAGGCCGCCTCTAAGGCTGCAGAAATCAATGTTAGGCTCCTATCCCACTGGCACTGCACGCTTGTTAAGACTCCCTAAAACTTTCCCAGATGTATCAGATGTGTGTTGACGTGGCTGTGGAACAGTCTTTACCCATGCTCATATCTGGTGGGAATGTATAGTCAGTCATAATGGCCAGAGATGTTACTTTGGATAAAAGCAATACCGGGCTTTCGTATACCCAATGATCCATCGGTCGTACTCTCATTGTACAAGTGAACCCACAGGCCGCTACAAGTGCTCTCTTATCAGCCGCCTCCCATAATTTCACTTTTAAATGCATGACCTCTTATACAATTGCTGCTGGATAATGAACTGAGCGGAGTCTACAACCTTCACATTATAAAGTCTATAACTACCTCTGTTTTAACTCTTCTTGATGCATGTTTGGACTACTGAATATAAAGCACCTGTATGTGTGGTGGGTGCTTTGTCTTGTTAATCCTGTTTCTACTTTTGTCAAAAAATTTAAAAAAAAAAAATAATTTAGGGGGAAAGAAAATCTGCATCCAAAATGGATATCATAATCCCAGCGCAGAAAACCCAACCATCACTCTTTATTTTAAAAACCCTTCTTGATAAAAAGGTTCCACTGCTCTCACAGACATATATCATGTAAAATAAACAAAAAACATAGCACCTGCATCATTCAGGTCATAGCAAGAATACACAGGGAAACACTAGCCTAAGAGATACATGACATCTGGCGTAACAGATATTTTGCTGTGATGGTTGGTTAAAAGTGCTTCCACTTAAAGTAGAATGGACACAAAAAGCAAATTATTCTGGTGTATGATTTCGGAGATCTGCTAATCTGCATATTGGCAGCCCTCCTAAATTTAGACACCAAGACAAAATATATAAGGAGGTTATATTTAGAGATCTAAACATTACAGTCAGTAAAATTATAGAAAGAAATTTGGCCAGGAAAACTACAAGTACAAAAACTGAAACTTATGGCAATCATGACACCCTAACTTACAGACATACAGTATATAACAAATACAATATGTTAAACTTCAAGTGTAACTAAAAACGGTAAAATTATTTTAGTTTTGGATAGAGTAGAGCTGGATTAGAACACCTGTCAGGTTTTTATCTCTGCATCCCCAAAAAGGGAGATACACCTGCTCTATTTGTCATGTTTACCATTATCACCAAAAGTAAAGGTAAAAATACCCCTCAAATCTTAGGTTGTCCCTAGAACAGTAAGAGAGTAAATCTTCCATTACGGACTCTCGTTCTTGTGACCCTGGATACAGCCAGGGACTCGCTTGCTTCGGATGGACTTCCTTTCATTTTCTGTTTAGGTTACAGAACAGGAAATTAAGGGAAATGTTCCCAATAGAACACAGATAGCAAAAAATATAAATCCAGAGAAGTGTTATAACCCTTCCTTACTCTACCCAAAATTAAAAAAGCTTTGCCTTTAGTTCTCCTTTAAATAGTTTGCTTGGATCAAATAAACCTGGCTGGTGTGAGGACACAGCAGGAACGGGGGACACGGGAGTGTCTTTTTTAAACGTCAGCAGCTACAGTTTTTGTAGATTTTTTTTTCCTCTTAAATTTTGAATGGACGTCAGCTTTAAAATCATAGTAAAAATTTTGTAAATGAGCCTAAGGTTGTTCTTAATCTTATCCACCCCCACCAAATCGACTTCATGCCAAATAAGAACATGGCTTTTAACATAAGGCACCTGTGCATGAACCTTCAGGCCCAACAAGTCAATGCGGAATCAAGGGTGGAGGTGACTCTGGATGCAGCTAAGGCGTTACACTCAATGGAGCCATTTGTAGGAGTGCTAAGGTGCTTCCACCCACTAACTCACTCCCTGCTCAGGAGATCGCCAATCACTTCAAAACGAAGAGTGATACAATTCCTAAGGAGATGTCTGACAAGCAGATAGCTTCCTCACTTAACACACCATGTCCACATGTACAATCACTACTTCCCGCATTCAACCCCGCTACTATAGACAGGGTTGCTAAATCTTTTTTTCCCCAAACAACCACCTACCCCTTCGCAAATGCTACAGCCACCCTCTAGCTCACATCTTCAATCTTTCCCTCTCTTCCAGCATCTTCCCCAACTCTCTAAAACATGCATTTGTCAGCCCCATACTTAAAAGCTCTCACTAGTCCCCACCAAAAGTAATAACCTATGACCCATCTCCTTCAAACTCCTTGAATGCCTGATCCACAACCGAGTGACGATCTCACTCAGTCTGGATTTCGCCCACAACACTCCATGAAAACTGCTCTCCTTAAAAACGTACAAACTATCTATTAACGCCTAAAACCAATGGACATGATTCTGTACACTTAGTCCTGGACCTCTCTGCTGCCTTTGACACAGTGAAGCACTGCCACCTGCACAAAAAACTTCACGCCTTTGGTCTTCACAACTGTACTCACCGCACCTTCAGTGTCACTTGCAATTCTACTTCCTCCTCTTCCTTTCAGTTCTTGGACCCTTCCAAAAATTCACCTCCTCCCTGGGTCAGTTGATTGCCTCCCATGGCTTTCAAAATCATTTATATGCCGATGACACCCAAATCTCTCTCTCTACCCCTCAGCTCACTCCATCAGTCTCCTGAAGCATCACTAATCTACTAACAGACATATCAGCCTGGATGTCATACCACTTCCTGAAATTCAATTTATCCAAAACCAAGCTCATATTTCCTCCCCTACGTGCCCCTTCCCCTGACTTCTCTGTCAAAACGAACAGCTCAACCATCAACGTGTCCCCACATGCCAGGGTTCTAGGTGTAATCTCTGGGTGTGGACTCTGAACTATCCTTTTGGCTCCACATCCAATCAGTCCAAAGCTTACCACCTCAACCTGCGCAACTTCTCCAAGATAGCCCCTTCCTAACCAATGACACCACAAAGCTTCTAACTCACTCCCTGGTCATCTCCCAACTTGACTATTGCAATTCCCTCTTCACTGGCTTACCTTTAGATAGGCTATCCCCCTTCAGTCCATTGTGAATGCTGCCGTCATGCTCACCCACCATACCAATCGTTCAGTGTCTGCCAACCCTCTCTGCCAATCTCTTCACTGGCTTCCGCTCACCCAATGAATTAAGTTCAAGATACTGACAACTTCTAAAGCCATTCACAACTCAGCCCCAAGCTACATCACTAACATTGTCCCAAAAATACCCAAGCAAATCTCATCTCTTCAGAGAGGCTTATCCTTCCCCCACCTAACAACCATACATGTATTTTACAATTCTTATAATGGCATGCTGCCAATTAACTAAATTAGTTGCAAAATGTTCTTCAGCTCTTCCTTGTTAGTACCACTCATTTTGCCAGCTTTTTGTTACCCTGTTCCAACCTTGAGACGTGTTACTGCCATCAATTTCAAAATTATATTTCTTAAAATAGTACATTTCCTTAGAAAACATACAAATATTTAATATTTTTTCTTTTGTGAATATTGGTTTCTGAGATTTGTAAATCACTGCATTCGGTTTTTAAATATAATTTACACAGTGTCCCAGCTTTTTTGGAATTGGGATTGTAAAAGGTTCATCCACTAGAAGGGCATATAATAAACAATTTCTGACTGAGAAAGGGTCAACATTCTCCTATCAGTTCTAGCCAATGCTGTATGGCATCTAATAGGTAAGCTCATGCAAAGAATTCAGACGACTGCCTCAACATGCTCTTCTTGATCTGTGAAAAAATCCTAGCACCCAATGTTATTACAGAGGTGGAAGACAAATGTACACATTTACATCTTGTTCCATGCATAGAAACTTACAATCAGGCCATGTGTATATAAACACACATTCACCCCACAGACCTGAAACAGAAAAACACTGTTTCTATTCCATATGCTAGCTTATTGGTGAGGAGTCCCTCAGTTCTCATTGGCACAGTTACTTTTCCTCGGAAAGATACCTTTTAAATTCAACCATAAGAACATACTGATAAAAGTATCATCCAAGGCAATTAGGTTAACAGTTTAAACGTGGGTTTGGAGCATTCATTATATTATATTCTGATCCTCTACATACAATGTAGCAATAAAATGTAGTGGTGTACAAGCACAGTGCAGGTACAATGTGTTCTTAGTTCAAACAGACTGTAAACTGAACCAGATTACATGAAGGTCACAGGACTTTTGTCTACACCAAAACAGCACTATCTGCAGACTTCATCTACTACAAATATATGTTCACAAGGAAAACTAACCATGTGTCCTATCCCAGTTGGTAAAAGGAAAAACAGCCTGTTTATACATCATATAGAAAAGTCCTGCTTTGTAGCAGATTTACGTAAGCAAGACTAAAAATCTTTCAAACAAACAACCAGCCAACTGATGGGGAGCACATCGCAAACTCCGCGTAAAAAAAAACAAACAAAAAAAAACACAATAGAAACACACAAAAGATTTCATTTTAACTTTAACTAAAGTGATTTCAAAGGCTTACATTATAAAGAAAAACAAAAACACACACCTATACTTACCTGCTGTGTGCAGTGGTTTTGTACAGAGCAGCCTGGATCCTCCACTTCTTGTGTCCCCCGACAGCGCTCCTAGCCCCTCCCTTCTGTTGGGTGCCCCCATAGCAAGGAGCTTGGTATGGGGGCACCCAAGAATGCACATTCCCCAGCCGCTGCTTTGTGTCCATTCACACACTGAGCTGTGGCTTGGCCACGCCCCCTCTCTCATCAGCTCACTGGCTGTGACTAACAGCAAGCGGGAGCCCCTGCTGCTGTCTCAGTCAATGAGGAGAGGGAGTCCGGGGATAGCAGAGACTCCAATGCACATTGCTGGATCGAGAGGGGGCTTAGGTGAGTATTAGAGGGGTGGGTGGGATGCTGCAGGTTTTGTTTTTTTAACCTTCATGCATAGAATGCATGAAGGTAAAAAACAGTGAGCCTTTACAACCACTGTCAGTCTGTACTAAAGTAAACCTACTGCAAACCTGAGACACTTAAACTAAGGAGATAAAAAAAAATTTCAATGAAACCTACTATCCCAGCAATCAGCAGACCCAGAAATGTAGGCAAGTAAATATACCTGCAAGGATCAGCCATTCTTTAAAATGTTAAAGGGAACCCTTAAACAGTATCAAACCCCCAACAAAAAAAACATTATTATAATTGCATTCATTTTTTTAGCTGGTTTTCCTTTTTTTCACCTGCTGATGCTGCCAGTAACATTTCCTCTTTTAGGTGGCTCCATTCTTTGCAGAAGCAATAGGGACACCTTTGGACAGTAGTACTCTCAGTCTGGAGAGAGGGAGATGTTGAATGCACTAGCAGAGATTGACTGGACTTGAAGAAATGAAGCCACATACCTAACTTTTTAAAAACTGTTAAAGAAAATTTTTTTTCCCCTTTGGGATAAAGGATTTACATAAATGAATAAAAGCTGACTTTTGTCAGCACGTCTGTCAATGCTAAATAGTTTGTTTCAATCCTCTAACTGCCACGTATGCTGAACAGCTTGATCTGTAAAAATAAACTGACAAATAAAAGACTTACTAGCTCAATCACCAGGTAAAATTAAATGAATTTATGATTTTACATTCTGATCATAGATACAATTTAATAGGGAAAAGCCTAAAAAGGAAAAAACTAATGCAGCCACCACACCTAAGAATTTATACTCTGCAATAATGTAAATTTTTGCTTTTGAATGAAGATACCTTTAGCATTAGTTTTATTTTTTCAATGTATAATGGCGCGATGGCAACCACGCAGGTTTTTTTGCTTTTAACAAATCTGAAAACAGGTGCAAGGTTGTCTGTGTGTATATAGCTGCAAAAGATTGGAAATACAGCAACATATTCAAGACGGCAGAAAAAAAAAAAGCCCAGAAAGTTTTGCATATGGGTGTAGTCATTTACACAAACATGTAATTCATTTACTCAGGGTCCTTCTGCCAGAAGATCCAGCATATTAACATCAGTAATTTAATATGTGTGCGCAAGAGGTCTTAGGCTGCCCATTAAAAAAGGACAATTCAGATACTTGAGAAAAGTCGAAATTGAATTTAGCTTAAAATAAAAAAAAAAAAAAAAAAAAATTTCTGGCTCTAATGACCACGTTGACTTGAAGTGCATGTCGAATGTACCTCTGTATAACAACCATTAAAAACCCAATTTCAAATTGCACTGCCCTGACAGAGGTTTCCTTTAAACTGAATGCCATGAATAGGGATACTTACCAACTAATACTTCAACAGCTGCCAGTGAATCGTCTTCCCAATCCATTTCCTCCTGCTTCTCCTCTGGGCACTCTTTCACACTGGATGAGATGGGGTAAAACTGCTTCCATTCACCAATTAATTTCTTAGTAGAGGAATCAGACATCTTGAACGACTGCCCCGTGAGGGTGCCATTTAATCCAAAAGGGCTCAGGATAACTAAGACAACAGAAAACAAACATGTATTACAGCAAGAAGCTAGATATTTCCTATTATCTGTACAATCGTATATTTCCTAAAATGTTAACAAAAAAAAAAAAAGGAGCTATTGTGCCTTTTATTTCATCCTTCAACAATCTAATAAGGAACATCTATCTAAAATGGCAGACTGAAACTCCATTCAGGCAACTACTGTAGTCTCTGCTAACCTGTAAAAGATTTGAGCTTTCTGATCAGTACCTGGTCCTAAGCATACAGTTTCTTCATGTTGTCTAAGCAGAACTATGACCTTCCATTAAAAAAAATATATTTTATTTATTACAGTTTATGCCTTAATCTCCTGCAAAATCCTAAAAATACTTGTTGATTCTGCTACTGCAGTCCTCCTAAAACAGCTTTCTGCAATGGTGTGACAACGATCCTGCATTGTTACTGCATCCAGAGCAGAGTTGACATGTAGGCTGTGCTTACAGTAAAATGAAGATTATGCAGAGGCATGGCTATAAGCACTGTCCCTCAAGAACGTAGTATGTCAGTCAGCACCTGGCCAAACCTAGTCCTGCTCTTGGATTTCTGGATTCATAGCACCGTCTTTGATCCCAAAACCTTCCCAGTGTTCCTGGGAGGAGAAGCATTAATAACACAAAGGATTTTGCTCAGTTAGGAAAGGTAAAGAAATGAGGCTTTTGCATCCCTAAACAACTAGATTTGGCATACAAGAGCCTTTAGTCAGTCATACTTTAAAAGGACAACTGCATCTTTGTTTTAAAAACCAATACAGTGAACACATCACACATCTTGAAAATCAGCATACACAAGTGCTATACACAAACAAAAATCTCAGCTACATATCCCAAAGCTGGAGAAATTGCAGTTTACAGACCTTGCCCATGCCCAGACACATGCCACACAACACCAATAAAGAAACTGCTTCCTTCTCTTGCAGAGCTGTAGGTTGACTGCTCGTTTATTGTTATGTAATGTTGACAACCAAGCCTAAACATGTTTTGCATAAAGTGCTGCAAGGACTGGAGAAAGTAATGCCAGAGTAGGGTGTATTGCTTTTCAATTCAGCTCTGCTTAGCCAAAATGGTGAATGTGCAAATGCTGCCAATTCTCAGTGTGTCCACCAATCAGCTAATAGGTTGGCAGGATTAACAGAGCGGGAGCAAGCAGAAGTGAACTTCTCCTGGTGCACTGCATGCTGGAATTTGTGGAGCATAGGACAGCACTTCCTGTGTACTTGTTCCTCCATAGGTGCCTGGATGGTTAATTAGAGATGATGCAAGTGACAATCATTTTGATTGATTTTACCAAACAGATTTAGGTTAGGGAGACCATAGCAAAATCTTCACTTATGTGGAAAAACATGGAAAACAATTATATTGCTGATTTAATAAATATGTTAGGCTCGTTACATTAATAACATTTTTTGTATTAGCTATAAAAATTTCTTAGAGTCCATTGAAAAACAGGAACTCAAGATTAGTCAGGATTTACTGCCACCTACAGGGAGGTTGATTCAATGTCAAACAGAAAAGCCAGTCACTGTATAACCTTTCCCCTAACCATAATGCCTCAGTTTTCTGGAAAAGCAGTACCACAGAGGGGCAGGGCCTGGGTCCCTCAATGAACTCCAAATAGATTACACAGTAAACATAAAAACGTATTTTCTTTTTTCTCTATTGGGTGACAGAAATGAAGAAAAAAAAAAAAAAAAAAAACACTGGGCATCCAACAGCTGAAGGGGAGGGCAACAGCCACTGAAACTCAAGAAAGGAATAGAAACTCTGCAACACAAAAAACAGCCTAACAGAGCAATGCCCAAATCTAAACCAGATGAAAAGCCCCCTGCAAGTCGGGGGAAGATGATAACCAGGGGAAGGACACAGATGCGCAAGATCAGGATAGAGGATATCACCAGAGCAGAATGGCTCCACCTGAAAGAACTCTGAGCCTAAACCAGAGAGAGACTGGGAAACCAAAACCACCCTTGAAACAGGTGGAACTATTCGATGAGAGAAAAAGGACCCACAAAATAATGAGTCTGGGAAGTGGATTCCTGTGGTAAGAATCAGCAGATTTATGTGGCTGGAATCCCAGATGTTTGAAGACATAGCTGCACCGAGGAAGCCTGTACAAAGCAATGATATGCTTACAGTCACTGCAGCTATCCATGCGTATCTGTATATCCAGCAGTTACCAGCTGCTAGGAACAGATAACCAACCCTGGAGGCAATCTGTCTGCATCTAGTGCTAGTCATCTGTCCCTAGCCACTGGTAAGCACTGGATGTGTGGATAAATTCAAAGAGCTGAGGCAACTGTAAGCCTATCATTGCTCTGTACAAGTTTCCCAGCAGCAGCTGTCCCCGACCATCTGTGATGACAGCAGCAAGAATCAGATTTTTACAGCAGAAATCTGTGGTCCAGACCTTTTAGCACAGGTGAATGAGGATTTAGGATTCAGAGAAGTCCAATGATGAGAACAGGGTTGCCTATCCAGTCAAGAATCTCGCTGACAGGATATCCAAAAAAAAAAAAAAAAAAAAAAAAAATCATAATAGCACAATAAGTTACCCCTGAGACTGAGACTAGTAAAAAACCTGAAGGGAACAGTTCCCCAAACTCAGCCTGACTTAAAAGGGGATAAGGTGCATGAGAAGTACTCCTACAAGGGTAGGCAGGTATGAAAGGTTATGTCACAACCCCAGACTGGTAAAAAGGTCAGGCTGCCGGGCCTGAAGCACAGAACATGGTGCTAATAATATTTTGACCATAGCATCCATAGTCATGAAGCGAGGGACAGGAAACCTAATCAGGTGAATATTCTTAGTGTGACTATTGGCAGAACCAAAGAAGGCATCTAGAGAAGCGTCTTCAAGATGATCAGCCACAGAAGGGGACCATACTCAGGCAAACATGCCCCATGGAAGCCTCTAGGCATACCCTATCCCCAAATGGGGAACACTACAGCAGGGACCCAGCATGTACTGCCTGCTGCTGACAATCAAAGCCAATGCAAAGGCAGTCAAGAGTAGTACACTTCGTGTCATATAGCACAGTGGACCGGCCACTTGTCCTGTCACAGGGAGGGCTCAAATACCTTTTCAATCGGAAGATCACGCAGAATTTACACGGTGACCAACACTCAAAGAAATGTGCAGACGCTAGTTGCTGTATAGGTTCTGGAATCCAATTTTGTGGCATCAGCTATGGAGGGAAGGAAGGGCTCATAAAAGGTTTGGGGGAAATGTGTGCGTTGGGGAGGTTAGTCCAGTAAGAAATTAGAGAAAGAGGGGTTACCATGAAAACATGACATAGCGGTTGGGGCTCAGGTATGACATCTATGACTAAGGGGATTTATGGCAAAATGTCATGTCAGGTGGCAGGACAAAACAAGAAAATGCAGGTTTGAAGGGAAAAAAAACCTCAGTGATATAAGCAGAACATCAGTCTCCAAGCAATACTGTCCCCAAATATAACAAGCATCCAGGGAACAGAGAAAGGATTGCATTTACTAAGGGTGCCCTCAGATTGCATAGTGCAAGTTGTCAGTAGATAAGGGTCTACTCTACAGGGTTCTAAATGAAATGCCAACAGCATAGCCATAGCCGGGTCAAGGTTTATAGACTGAGACAAGTAAGGAACTCAGTACGAGTTATTTAGCCCACACTACACAAGGCTGTTTTCACAAAGATTACCAAACAAGAAAATCATCTTGTGCCCACATGGGGGTGTAAAGGGACACAATCAAACGTACAAGAAAAAAAAGGAACAGGAAAGAAAGTACCCTGAAAAATGCCCTCGATGGAGGGGGAAGAATGTCTCTGCCATTAGAGATTTAGACAGATGTACAGGAGCTTTTACAAATATAACTATAGATCAAACAAATGACTGTCAGGGTGTGTACCTTGTGAGAGCCCGACTACCTAAAACTACTGCATCTTTTGCAATGCAGTATGTAAGCCATCAAAGATAGGAGTTCATAAGTAGGGGTTGGTAAGCCCTAAATTTTTTCCTGAGAATGAAAATTAAGTGAATACCCATTGGAATGATAAAGCAGACAGGGGGTTAAGAAATCTTGTGCTTTTCCCAAGTAAGTAGAAGCAGAGAACTACTAAGGAAATAAGAAAAGGACGGCAATTAAAAATACATGTACACCTCCTAGAAAAGTTAAGTAAAATATTTTCTTTATATCTCTAAGTTGGGGAAAAAGAAGTATAGTGTCCTGGTGAAAGGCTGTTCCCAGAGCATTGACTTTAAATTCATGCCTTCTAGAAATACACGCTAAAAAATTAAATCAAGTTAAATGACTATCAAAACAGCAATTAAAATTGTACATCTAGGTCTTCACGCAGAAAACCGATATTTTCCCTAGAACAGGCAGGAAAACAGTGCACTTTTATTGTATGATTTCCTTCACTTTTCTCAATGAAACGCAGAGAACACTACCTAGACCTCACATCAAGTCAAATCAGGAATAACAGGGCCATTTCCATTCCAAAAAAACTAGTATAGATCTCTTACCTTGAAATGGGCTACTAGACTGCTGGGCAAGAGTAAGGTGCTCCTCGCTGAGAATGTATACTGGCTGGTGTTGGTTAATTTCCACACTTGTGCAAACATTGCTGTCACCATGAAGAAAGAATGTAAAAGAGCAAGATAGGTGTTCACTGAAAAAAATAGAAGAGAAAATTGCACATTAAACCACAAAATTTAACAAGGGATTAGTAAATGTATTCTGCTAAATAAAATCTGTGAGTGCATGCTTACACACACACACACACACACACACACACACACACACACACACACACACACACGAGTTTTTTTTTTTCTGCCTTCAACATGTTCCAGCATATATGTAGAGAACATATATATGTGAAGGATGTTAACAGCAAAGTATAATACCATGCACAGGATGATTAATTTTTTTAATTAAAATGCCCTTTAAAACAGAGGTATACACTATATTGCCAAATGTATTGGGACACCCCTCCAAATCATTGGATTCAGGTGTTCCAATCACCTCCATGGCCACAGATGTATAAAATCAAGCACCTAGGCATGCAAACTGTTTTACAAACATTTGTGAAAGAATGGGTCGCTCTCAAGAGCTCAGTGAACTCAAGCGTAGTATCGTGATAGGTTGCCACCTGTGCAATAAATCCATCTGTGAAATTTCCTTGCTACTAAAATATTTCACGGTCAACTGTTAGTGGTATTATAACAAAGTGGAAGCAACTGGGAAAAGCAGCAATTCAGCCACAAAGTGGTAGGCCACGTAAAATGACAGAGCGGGGGTCGGTGCATGCTGACGCGCACAGTGCGCAGAAGTCGCCAACTGTCTGCTGAGTCAATAGCTACAGACCTCCAAACTTTGTGTGGCCTTAGGATAAGCTCAACAACAGTGTGTAGAGAACTTCATGGAATGGGTTTCCATGGCCGAGCAGCTGCATCCAAGCCTGACTCTACAGCAGTGGAGACATGTTGTCTGGAGTGACAAATCACACTTCTCTGTCTGTCAATTCCATGGACCTGTCTGGGTTTGGTGGTGGCTAAAACGATACTTGCCTGACTGCATTGTGGAAAGTGTAAAGTCTGGTGAAGGGGGGGATTATGGTGTGGGGTTGTTTTTCAGGTGTTGGGCTTGGCCCCTTAGTTCCAGGTGAAGGGAACTCTTAAGGTGTCAGCATACCAAGATATTTTGGACAATTTCATGCTCCCAACTTTGTGGGAACATTTTGGGGATGGCCCCTTCCTGTTCTAACATGACTGTGCACCAGTGCACAAAGCAAGGTCCATAAAGACATGGTTGAGCGAGTTTGGGGTGGAGGAACTTGACAGGCCTGCACAGAGTCCTGACCTCAACCCGATAGAACACCTTTGAGATGAATTAGAGGGGAGACTCCAACCCAGGCCTTCTCGTCTGACATCAGTGCACGACCTCACAAATGTGCTTCAGGAAGAATGGTCAAACCTTCCCATAGACACACTCCTAAACCTTGTGGACAGCCTTCCTTCCCAGAAGAGTTGAAGCTGTTATAGCTGCAAAGGATGGGCCAACTCAATATTGAACCCTACAGAATAAGACTGGGATGCCCTTAAAGCTCGTATTCACATAAAAGCAAGCATCCCAATACTTTTGGCAATATCGTATGTTAAAAAAAAAAATAATCAGGCGTCATCAGTGTTCCCATCAACAGCAATATGCCCTATTTTTACCTGCCAGTTTGACACCCTAGTTGAAAATATAAAAGCGTCAGGAAAAGGCTTAAAAAGGAGTTCACCTTTTAAAAAAGAAAATAAATGCACATCTTTCTTGACTGTGGTCAATGGGAGTAGAAAATGCCCTGGTATCAGTGGAAGTAAACATTTCCCCATCATTGGTTTAAACAGGAGGAATAGTGTCCCATCATTGGTTTTAGTAGGAGGAATAGTGCCCGATTGACTGTCAGTGGGAGGAATACTGTGCCATCATTGGTCTTAGCAGGAGGATTAGTGCCCTATCAAAGGTGTCAGTGGGAGTAAGAGTGTTCCATTAATGGTGTCAGTGGGAGAAATAGTGCCTCATCATTGGTGTCAGTTGGAGGAAGAGTGTCGGAAGGGCCAGATAGAGGCACACAAAGGGCTGCATTGGGCCCCCAAGCCGCAGTTTGGAGACCACTGGACTACAGGAACGCTTACCTGCACCCTCGCAGATCACTGAGAACTACAAGTCACCTGCCGCAATGGCTGATGGTACTTGTAGGCATTCATTCACAGGAATCTGTGAATGAACAACACAGCAGTGTGGGTAGAGCTGGGACACGTTACCTGTTCTACATGTAACATGTTCCAAAGGTGAACTTAGCCTTCAAAGCCCTGTTGAAGATGCAGGAATAGATATTCAGCTAGAAAGAGATAGTACTAATAGCCTCTATTACCCTGCCTCTGACAGCTGATGTAAGACACTGCCATGGCCCTGTCCGATTCCTAGTTGAATGGCATTGCAGATTACAGGTCCAGCATTAAAAAGATAACTGAAACGCTATGACTTCCTGAATAATAACAGGGAGTTTGTTCCTTGAACCTTAAGTGTACCTAGGATCCTCCACAGACCAATAGGCTGGCAATGATTTCCTCATCTTTAGGGGGTTGTAGTGGATTTTCCTGACTTTGGAACCAGGTTTGTGACCCACTACACCAGGGCATGCCTGGTCCTGTTGGACAGGCATCCAAGGCAACCAGAAGCTAAACTGTGCACAATTATTAGGCGAGTATTTTGACCAAATCATTTTTATGCATATTGTCTAACTCCAAGCAATATAAGCTTAAATGCTTATTGGACTTAAGCATATCAGGTGATGTGTATTTGTGTAATGAGGGAGGCTGTGGCCTAAGGAGATCTACACCCTATATCAAGGTGTGCATAATTATTAGGCAGCTACTTTGCCTCAGGCAAAATGGGCCAAAAAAAACACTTACCCGACTGAAAAGTCAAACATTGTAAAAAGTCTTTTAGAGGGATGCAATACTCTTGAAATTGCCAAGCTATTGGGGCATGATCACAGAACCAAACATTTTTTTGAAAATAGTCAAAAGTGTCGCAAGAAACGAGCTGAGAAAAAAAAAAAAAAAAAAAAGACGCAAATTGACTGCCAAAGATTTGAGAAGAATCAAATGTGTAGCTTCCAGGAACCCATTATCGTCCAGTGCTGTCATATTCCAGAACAGTAACCTACCTGGAGTGCCCAGAAGTATTCAGTGCTTAGAGACGTGGCCAAGGTAAGGACGGCTGAAAATGGACCACCAATGAACAATACACATACGCTGGAATTTTAAGACTAGACCAAGAAATAGCTGAAGACAGATTTTTCAAAGGTTTTATGGACGGATGAGATGAGAGGGACTCTTGACGAACCAGATGGATGGACCCTGGCGGAATCAGTAATGGGCACATAGCTACAGCTCAACTCAGACGCCAGCAAGGTGGACCTTTTCGGGTTAAAGATGGACTCAAAATCAACTTCCAAACCTACTGCCAGTTTTTAGAATACACTTTCTTCAAGCAGTGGTACAGGAAAAAGTGTGCATCTTTCAAGAAGCCCGTGATATTTATGCAGGACAATGCTCCATTGCATGCATCAAAGTACTCCACTGCGTGGCTAGCTAGTAAAGGTCACCCGGCCTAAATCCTATTGAAAACTTGTGGGCCCTTCTTAAACGGGAGATTTACGGTGAAGGAAAATAGGAGGATATGCTGAGGGATTTCATGGTCAAGGACTAACAGCAAAGTTCCATGCTTTACGTTGGACCTGGAGGCCTCAAAAACAACAAAATTAACTTTCAGCCTCAAGAGTAGGTTTCCCAAATAAAGACTTGGCTTTTTTCTGGGGCAAAAAAAAGTGCACTCTTCCCTTAGTGACTTCCTTAATAAAATTGTCTGGGGATATTTCAAAGGCATTCCCCATCAAAGGACATACAGAAAAGGAGTTTCTCGCACTGATCTGGCAGGATAGAACCAGGATCCACATACATACCCTTGGACCAGACCGCTCAGATCTGACAGATGAACACAGTGGCAGGACCTGTGAAGGAGAACAGGCTTTAGAAAAGCAGGTATTTAGGCACAGGCAAGTCCGCAACAGGGCAAGTCAGAGTCCTGTTAAGACAAGAAATCGCTGTGTCAACAAGTGGACAGACCATTTCTTCAGGAACACCTTTGCCATAGGGTATTGCTAGACAAAAACACTTGCAGGACACGCCAATCACTAAAAGAGAAGATGCAGGGAATGCACTAGAAAAACCTAAACAGGTTGAGGGCTCTTTGCAGAACAAAAGCTAGATATTTTAGGTGTAGCTGACACAGGCACGTCCAAATCCAGGCATGTTCAGACTGTCACTAAGGACCAAGGTGGTACCCTTAAAGTGTTACTAAACCCACAACAGTAAAATCAGTCTGTATATGCCGTATATCATGCTTGATATACTCACTGTGGAACCTAAGGGGTTAATCATCTGCATTGCATAAAAATGCTGTTTGATCCAGACTTCTCTGATCCCCCCTTCTTCCAGTGTTCCCCCTTTTACCTCCTGATAAGACCTAGTGTGTAGAGCCACTCTAGCAATACACACCAAACTGAGCATGTGCAGAGAGGTTTTCTTTTTTCTTCAGAGAGTCAGGGGATCTGCATCCTCCTAGAGCAGAAAGAAAGATCCTCCAACAAGCTATAACCAATGCTCTGCTGAACACTGATAGAAGTCACAAGACCGCTCTAACTGCTGATGAGAAAGGTATTTAGCAGTTTATATTTACTAAAATAATTGCATTTCCATGTTCTGTGTACTGTGGGAGACCAGATAAGAGTGCATGCAGGGTTCTGGGTTTAGTAACACTAAGTTTTGAGGCAACATCGGCAGAATGGGACTCCTTGTATACCAAGTCCTCAAATAAGGATGAAGTACAATTCTCATCCTCAGCCGATTGTGCAGAAACAACTACAACCTTAAGGAATTCAGAGATGGACTCCGGAGGTGAGGACTTGAAAGCATGCTGGCAGGCCCTGCATTTTGAGTAAACCATTGTGGCTGTGATTTTGTCCATAAACTCAGACATAATGCAGAGAACTCTTCCTTCGGAAAAATAGGAGAAGAGATAAACCCTAAAGGGGCTAAGTAATGAGAGATGACA